CTCTGCACCTTCTCCACCAACTCCCACTGATGACTGCTGTCGTTGTGTCCTTGGGCAAGACACTTAACCCCACTTTGCCCAAAGCCCCCACTGAAAGATCAAGGCTATGCTCACACTCAGAGCAGCCGTCCTCCTGTGGACTCACCACCTGCAGAGGGTCAGTGAGGGGCTGGTGCTATGAGACTTGGGTGGCATCTCTGACTGCCACCCCCCTGACCCAGAAATGGATTAAAGGGAAGAAAATGGATGGATGGATGGGTAAGTAGCTTTCAGGGCTCATTTGTCCATGTGCAAAACAAATGCACATTTGCAATTGTTTTTACATGGAATTACTCCAATGACCAAAGCCTTATCCCAAGTTTCTCAGACGGAGTGTCTTCCAGTGTCTCGAGCTAGTGCAGTGCCAAGGTTTGTATCACATGGTGATGGATCGAGTGGTTTGAGGCATTAATAGAAAGTTATGTGTTGTTATATCACTTTGCCACATTACGTTGAAACTAAACATGTTCCACATTTTCAGGTGCTGTGCTTGGACCTTGTGATGAGAGACTGAAGACCAAGAGAGGACACATGTTGGAACATCAACATTCAATAAATGCATTCTTCTGCCTTTCAGATTGTGTTTTTACATCTGGGGAACCTAGAGTGTAGCTTGTGCCTGTTTTAATACTGATCCAAACACAGGCGCTACAATCATGTTTTTTTACTTTGGCATGAACTGTTCAGTACAGTAGTGTTCATAACACTGTGCCCTGTGTGCTTTAACTTGTATTTTGATGTAGAGAAACATGATTTTTAATGCAGCTCCATTTGCAATAATGACTGATATCCTTCTACTACAGTTGTTCTAATGATTTTTGAATGCTGTGTTTATCGTTTATTGCCCAGAGTCAGAACTAAACATGATATAGCTGCATTTCAGATTCACAAGGCTAAAATCTGGAACGGTCTTCCTGGAAGTGTGAGACAGGCTTCTTCTTTGACAATGTTAAAATCCAGGTTTAAAACACTTCTGTTTCTGCTTCAACTGAGAGATTTTATGAGAGATTTTATTTGTATCTTTTTAATTTACTGTCAATATTTATAATTGTAATGCCTTGTTTGATTGTTTCTATCTTTTGTAGGGATGTAAAAAACTATGAATTTTCATGACCGACCACCGAGCCTCATTAACCGGTTGAAACCGGTTAACCGCGTAGTTTAAAATAGTCCACGTTCTTTGAAATAACAGCCATTTCGAGCCGCGTACTTTTCATAAGTGCAGCTCTGCGTTCTACTGGATCAGAGCCGAGACAGCGGCGCCCAAACCCGCAACAGCTCCGGCACCTTTGCGCACAGAGAACTGCTTTTTTAATCTTCCCATTCTGCTGTGCTGCGGGTTAATACCAAAACTTTCTAGCAGCAAACGACGGCTCGTTCACATGGTCAGAGCAGCGAGTGACGAGCCGCGTCTCACAGGTCTTCACAAAAGTTTAAATACAAGTGATGTGTGTGGAGCTGATCCCGAGGACCATAAACACAAACATGTTCCATGTGGTTTGACTGGAGCCGTGTATTTGCGCGAATCCTTTGGGCTCCGTGACACAGAGGAGCGCGACACACCGGTATGTGTATGTATGTGTGTGTGTGTATGTATGTATGTATGTGTGTATGTATGTGTGTATGTATGTGTGTGTGTGTGTGTGTGTGTGTGTGTGTGTGTGTGTGTGTGTGCGTGCGTGTGTGCATATGTGGCTCGTGCGGCGTGAGAGTCGTCCCGGAGTTTAATACATTGGCGCACACAGCTAGATACAGACCCGCTCGTCACACCGTGCAAATAGGGCTTAAAATAGCGTTATTAAGAGACCTCCCCTCTCCCCTTTTTCTCTTTTTTAACCGACAGCTTTGACCGGTTAACGCTGTGACGGTCAACCACCGGTTAACCGGTCGCCGATTTACATCCCTAATCTTTTGTTCAGTGCTTTAAGTTTCCTTTTGTTTTGACTGTGCTATACAAATAAACTTGCCTTGCCTATTGCAAAAAGTATGTCTCGACCAGTGAGTGATTCTGCAGAGGTTAAGTAGGTCAATAGGACTGTAAATGGACGTCATATAAACGTCAATATTTTGGTCATATAAGACGTCGAGAGGACGTCGGACCCGACCGGTTCTGTACCACATTGCAACCTTGAATGAAGTGGCCGCGACGTCATTTGAACGTCCAGATAACGTCCATATGACGTTGAAATGACATAGTTTTGACATCTGCTTGCTTAGTGGGAACAACGGAAAACGAACGTCATATGAAGACAATATTTTGGTCATATAAGACGTTGATAGGACGTCGGACCCGACCGGTTCTGTACCACATTGCAACCTTGAATGAACGTCCAGATGACGTTGAAATGACATAGTTTTGACATCTGCTTGCTTAGTGGGAACGACTGAAAACGAACGTCATATAAACGTCAATATTTTGGTCATATGAGACGTTGATAGGACGTCAGACCCGACCGGTTCCGTACCACATTCAAACCTTGAATTGACGTGCCATCAACGTAACATTTGGAGGTTGAGGTGACGTCGGGAAATGACGTCGAGAAAACTTTCATTCTGCACCCACCAGTGACCTATATTCTACGTCGGACAACGACGTTCAAATTACGTTGATTCAACGTCGGCTTGCTTAGTGGGAAGTTTATAGATCCAGAACGTTTCTATTTGTGCAAGTGTTTTTACTCTGTCCCCACCCCTCAGACTGGAAGGGATCACCTCAATGACCATGGCTTGTGACTGACTGAGATTGTGTCCACCTGAAGAAAAGTCCATAGGATCATTTGGATTTTTGTTTTGATCGTATACTTGTGTTCAGACAGGTTCTTTCAAACGGCGCTTTGTCATTCCAATGTAAAAACATCCACAAGGACAGTTCAATTTGTAAACTACATGGGTATATTACAGTTGGAGAAGTGCAGACAATTGAACAAAGACTGACCGGAGGAGTCATTAAAAGCTTTTGTTTTATTTATGTTGCTGCAATGATTTTAGCAACATCATTGAAGCAACAAAAAAGGGCCCCAATGCTCAAAGATAAACTGGTAAAAAATTAAAGCCCACATTTTTTCTAAAACCTGTGGGTACTTTCCATTGTGGCTCGTGCAATCAAGGCCAACTGCAATACTACCCATGTAGTTTACAGATTGAACTGTCCTTGTGGAGGTTTTTACAGTGGAATGACAAAAGGCTGTTTGAAAGACCGCATGTCTGAACACAAGTATGCGATCAAAACAAAAAATCTAAATTATCCTATGGCTATGCACTTTTCTTCAGTTGGACACAATCTCAGTCAGTTAGGCCATGGTCATTGAGGTGATCCCTTCCAGTCTGAGGGGGGGACAGAGTAAAAAGACTTGCACAAAGAGAAACGTTCTGGATTGATAAACTTAAAGCTACTGTTTTTCCTGGGTTAAATGATGATGTTGATTTTTCAGTGTTTTTGTAATGTTTGTACTTTTAAAAATAAGGTGTTAACTGAGGGGCCCCTCCTGTGTGTAATGTATTCTTGGATGTATGTGTTGTAGTGGTGTCTATATGTCTTGATAACATATACTGCGGTGTTGTCATTGTTTAGATATTTTTACGTCACATCCTCTCTCCATTTAAAAAGTTGTTGTCCAATGGAGGGGTTTGTCATAACCTTCAGTTTTCCAGATTGAATAAATGTGTACACCTATTTTACTGTTCTAGGCATCTAGGCCGCTACGTTGTGGATTCTACTTTCACACTTGCCGTAAATGTTTTTGCCAAAAAACAAATTTTGAGGGATGAAGTCTGCCTAGAAGGAACTGCAATATCTGACCAGCATATTTTGTACCGTGGACCCCTGTCATATGTGTATTACTGCTAAATATAATTAACTGAAGAACTAAACGCATTTGTTCTGGCCTACATTGTTACTACACCATCTATATCTTAAACATGAGTCATTTATATCTCAAGTGATGACGTCTCTGTTCTGATGCACTTTGTCACGAATTATATAAAAATCCTTGTCTTCTTTCCTTCAATCTGGAGGGACTCAGGAATAAACAATGGTACAGGTGCCAGTGCTACTGCCTTGTCTTCATTTCTTGACAGTACTTTTAAGAAATGAGTATTCAGAACATGAGCTGTTATATGCTTACATCGTTTTATATATACGTATATATATATATATGGGTTGTTAGGTTATCAATTGATTGTCTTAAGCTCATTCCTATGGAAGGATAATAGCAGCAATCATGAAAACCAAAGAGTCTGGAGTGCCTTGAGACAGATGCAGATCCCAATTATAGGAATGTTTCTACAGAACAATTTGTTAAGACAACAAATAGCAGTAATGCCTAAACATCTTGTGTTTACAGGTGGGAATGGCAGGGACACACTGATAATGTATTATGTGACGGATGGAATATATGGTGCGTTCGCAAACAGTTATTATTATTCTGGTATACCTTGCAATCTGAGTCCCCATAAGGTAAAAGAGAGAATAGGTAAATAAACATTTATGAAACAAATTTGACTACTTAACTATATTATAATCCTCTGACAGCCGGTGAACCCCAATGAGCCCAGATACTCGTCTATTATCTGGGGTCCGACCTGTGACAGTCTGGACAGGATTCAGGACTTACAGATGCCTGAGCTCCATGTTGGGGACTGGATTCTTGCGTACAATATGGGGGCTTACTCCATCACCCTATCAACTGGGTTCAATGGATTTGGAAAAGGGAACATTTACCTAGTTGCAACAGTTGATACCTGGAAGATATCTCATGGTACTACTTGACATGGTTGAAATATAGTTTTGATAGTACAAATATAGTCAAAATGACTAAAACACTGACACAAAGGTAAGGTGAACTCAAAGAATGCTGTATCAGTGTTTGGGAGTGTCCCAGTAGGCGGTCAGTGTTGATGTGAGCTGAAAGTTTCCTTCCTGAGAAAACAGAACGTGTTTAACTTTAACAGAACTGCAGATGATGAACGTTTTGATCTCTGGCTCTGGGATCTTGGACGATGGTGATGATGTCGAGAATTTTATTGATGACAAAATCAGAGAGCTCAACAAACAGGTTTGTTACATTTTATTATTATATTTTTGCATTTGTTAAATTTTTTAATCTTTTGCAAAATATGTTTTGTAAAAATATCTCCCTAAAAGTTGAAACGGTGGAGAAGAGAAATGTGTATGATGTCAATTTCCTTTTTCCAATGTATCACAACAAAATTGCGTTTATTTATTTTATTTATTTTTTCCAGGGCAGTGAAGACCCTTTTTACGTAGCAAATTTAGATACAGTCTTAGAAAAGCACCAGAGATGGCAGAGCTGTCTGCCCAGAGTGACACCTTTCTATGCAGTGAAGTGCAACAACACACCGGCCGTCCTCCAGATGCTCAGCGCACTGGGAACAGGGTTTGACTGTGCCAGCAAAGTGAGTCAAAGACCGAGAGCACGAAGACTTGCTGTTTCTGACCTGTTTCTATAAAAACATTATCTAATCGGTGACAGAGGGAGATGGAGATGGTCTTGTCCTCTGGAGTGACACCAGACAGAATTTTATACGCACATACAGCTAAACCAACATCGCACATCAGGTACGCCCGGGCTAACGGAGTAGACACCATGACGTTTGACAGTGAGGAAGAGCTCGTCAAGATCGCCACCTCTCATCCTAGTTCAAAGTAACCAGTCTTATTTCCTTTTCTTCTTGATTACCATTTACCATTTATATTTGCATCCCATTTCTTTGTTTGTAGACTCTTGCTGCGCATTGCGGTGGACGACTCCAAATCAATGGTAAAGCTCAGTCCAAAGTTTGGAGCAAAATTGCAGAGTGTGGGCTCCCTGCTGAAGCGAGCTCAGGAGCTGCACTTGGACATCACTGGAGTCAGCTTCCATGTTGGCTGTTTGTGCACGGACAGCATTATGTACAAGAAGGCCATAGCAGACGCCCGGCGTGTCTTCGATCAAGCAGTGAGCCCCTGCAATCCATATGTATCTTAAACAATACAGTAGTAATGCTTCAATGATCTCTTTTTAGATTTCAACAGGATTTCAAATGAATCTTCTTGACATTGGGGGAGGATTCTATGGATCTGAAGAATTTCAAATGGTATGGACAGAACAAACAGCAATGCAGTTACTAAATTTAAAAACAAACCACAATGTAATGTATTAGTTTTACAAATAAAATGTACGTTGTATTTGCTTTTATTATTTCATGGTAGCGCTCTACGAACCCCTGTGGCAAGTGGGGCAAAAGAATGATACCACAGTAACTCTGGTTGTTAATAGGCGTCTTGAGGCAGAGCGAGAGGACTGGGAATCCCCTCCTCTGTACAGGAGGGGTTTGTCATGACCAGTGTTGGGCACGTTACTTTGAAAAAGTAATTAGTTATAGTTACTAGTTACTTCTCCCAAAAAGTAACTGAGTTACTAACGGAGTTTCTCCACTATAAAAGTAACTAGTTACCAGTAAAAGTAACTACTGCGTTACGTTTTCGTTTCGTTCTGGAACATAATGTGCACTCGACGTGCACATGTTGACCTTTAACCTCAGTGAGTTTGAAATAGTGCCGATATTTCCATCTAGAAAAGGCTGTTTTGCTGCTGGAGTCCTCCTCACTCTTCATCTCTCTCTGTGCTGTAAGCACTAAACACCAACAGCCGCCACTGTGAATGTGGAAACACCGGTGAAGCACTGACTTCAGCCCAATCAGATGAACATATATATCATATAAATCAACTGGACCTAGAGAGCGGCTTATGCACAGTTTGTTTGGCTACAGCAAATTATGTTTCATGCCCGCATTGTTTGTTCATACAAAACGCAAAACTATGAGTTATGGGTCTTACCTTATAAATGACCTGCACAGGCCACTTCAGTTCAGAAAAGTTCTGTGTTTAAGTCCAGATAATAGTTTGAGCGTAGATATGTGATCCTCCATTTGTAAATAAGTCCAATGAGTTTTAAAAAGTAAAACAAAATGCGTGTGTCCTCCATAAACTCCTCTGTTTTGCTAGCTGAAGCCGGGTGCATCCAATTTCTAAAATCAACCGTCTTACACTTACCACTACACTACACTAACCCACCTCTCTTTCATTCCTATAGTCATTTAAAAATTACACTAAGTGCATTTTAATAATCTTAAAATGTGTTAGCCAAACCTGTTGCTGCCCTTAGCAGATAAACCAGGAAGAGAAAGGAGCTTTCTGATGGAATTGTATGCAGCCGACTTCTGCGCTCACATGCGCTCCTCTGAGGCTGGCCTCACGGTGATACAAGCCGTGGTTGAGCGCGATTAAGACCCATATTTGTTCCAAAAACACAATTTATGAGCCATCCTCTCAACTGTAGACATGTAGATTGTAAAGGAAATATGTTTTACATCAGCCAATTATTGTTGAGAGGTTTTCTCATCCTCCTTTCACTCATGACAACAGGATCCTATCATGAAGGAAAAAAAGTTCATTGTGCGACTTGAGTAACGCACAGTAACGGGGCGTTGGCAATGATAACGGCGTTATAGTTACAGTCAAAGTAATTAGTTAGATTACTCGTTACTGAAAAAAGCCCATCACTGGTCATGACCTTCAGTATTCCAGATTGAATAAATGTTTACACCTATTTTACTGTTCTAGGCATCAAAAGGAATAAATGAGGCACTGGATGAGTTCTTCCCCGCTGGTTGTGGAGTGAAGATTATTGCAGAACCTGGCCGCTACTTTGTGGATTCTGCTTTCACACTTGCTGTAAATGTTTTCGCTAAAAAACAAATTTTGAGAGATGAAATCAGCCAAGAAGGTACTGCAATATCTGACCAGCATGTTTTGTACTGTGGACCCCTGTCATATGTGTATTACTGCTAAATATAATTATCTGAAGAACTGAACGCATTTGTTCTGGCCTACATTGTTAGTACACCATCTACATATCTTAAAGCTGCACTAACTCACATTGTGAAATCTTTGAATGTGAGCGCTGGCCTCGCTCTTTCTGCTCCCCCTCCACACCCTCACAAAGCTATCGCCCCCCCCCCCCAAACCCCCCTCCCACTCAGCCTGAGCTCATGTGCTAAATGATGGAACTGGGAAGCACGGAGGAACGAGACTTTCTTTTGGACGGCTGTTTTGCTTCATAACCGGTAACAAAGACACACAAAGTTTCAGGTTAGCCTCCGCCGCTTGTTTACCTCCGCTGTCTGTGCTAACAAGAGACCTGTAGCTTTTCTCAAGATTGTGGGGGCCAGTGGTCCGCTGTGATTGGTCACAATCTGGTCCTGAAACAAATTCTCTTCCTCGTTGCACAAAAACTCGATCTAAAATAAAATGACACGCCAGCACAAACCTGCGCTACTTTTTCTTCAAAAGGACGTATATCCCAATGCATTGCATGGATATGGGTTGAATTTTTGTAATGAATACAAAAATAAAGTGAGGTAATGCAGCTTTAAGCATGAGTCATTCATACCTCAAGTGATGACGTCTCTGTTCTGATGAACTTTGTCACGAATTAAATAAAAATCCTTGTCTTCTTTCCTTCAATCTGGAGGGACTCAGGAATAAACAATGGTACAGGTGCCAGTGCTGCTGCCTTGTCTTCATTTCTTGACAGTACTTTTAAGAAATGAGTATTCAGAACATGAGCTGTTATATGCTTACATAGTTCTATATATACGTATATATATATATGGGTTGTTAGGTTATCAATTCAAATAGCAGTAATGCCTAAACATCTTGTGTTTACAGGTGGGAATGGCAGGGACACACTGATGATGTATTATGTTACGGATGGAATATATGGTGCGTTCGCAGACAGTTATTATTATCCTGGTATACCTTGCAATCTGAGGCCCCACAAGGTAAAAGAGAGAATAGGTAAATAAACATTTATGAAACAAATTTGACTACTTAACTATATTATAATCCTCTGACAGCCGGTGCACCCCAATGAGCCCAGATACTCGTCTATTATCTGGGGTCCGACCTGTGACAGTCTAGACAGGATTCAGGACTTACAGATGCCTGAGCTCCATGTTGGGGACTGGATTCTTGCGTACAATATGGGGGCTTACTCCATCACCCTATCAACTGGGTTCAATGGATTTGGAAAAGGGAACATTTACCTAGTTGCAACAGTTGATACCTGGAAGATATTTAACCATTCACTGCCAAGCGTTTAGAAGCTGCACCACAGTCTCCTCAACTTCCTGATTGATTTTTTTCTTTTTCTTTTGTGTTTTCAACTGACTAATATACACACAATGATAATACATGATTTTCCGTGAATGAATCTTTAGTAATATACATCTATCAATCCAGGAAAAATTTCAGTTGTTTAGTTTACTTTTGCACTTTGATTTCATGGTATTTTTTTTACCAGCAAGGTTTTGTGTACAAGACCTTGAAGTTTTCTTGAAATGTCGGGCGTCAAATTGAAGTATATTTACCGGAACACTTGTGAAATTCTTGTCTGTATTCCTCACTACTTAAACACACAACTATGCACACTATTTTGAAACACACTTAGTAAGTAGTAAGTAAGTTTTTATTTATATACCACCTTTTCACTGCAGATCTGAGTCTCAAAGCGGTTTACAATTGTTAATTTTTGGGCATTTGTCTCTCACTCCACACAGATGGGAGCGGGGCCAGTACAGGAGGCGCATGCCAGAACTATTGGACATATTTTTAGTGGTAGGGGAAACCGGAGTACCCGGAGGAAACCTACGCAGACACGGGGAGAACATGCAAACTCCACTCAGAAAGGCCCTGGTCCGACCGGGATTCGAACCCAGGACCTTCTTGCTGAGAGGCGAGAGTGCTATCCACTCAGCCACCGTACAGCCTGGACAGGAACAGAAGGAACGGACAGAAGTGCACAGGAACTTCATGTTCCTGTGCACTTCTGACCCCATCCGAAGCCTCTCTTCCCCAGCCGGTGCTCCCTCTGGATCTGCGTCTATCCACACTAAACCTCCACATGGCTCTATCTTCTTTTCCCAATAGCTTTTCCATTTCCCCTAATCCCCTGTCTTCATTCGTTTGCCATCCACTCCTCCTCTTTCTTCACTTTCTTTGCTGCTTCCTCCTGGCTTCGTCCATTTTTTTATTCCAGACTCCAGGTTTCTTTGGCCTTCTTCCTTCCATTACTTTCTCTGACAAGCGATCCCTCTTTTCCCCCTCTCCAGGGCACACTCCTTCCCGGCTGTAATAGTTGATTCTTTTTGTCTTCACAGTATGTATGAAGGGATTCCAACACGCCATGGCCAGATCTACATCGAGTTTATCATAAGTCGATTTCTTTTCCAGTCAAACACTTTCCGATGATTCTCGCGTGGACTGGAAAAGAGGCATTTGCGGAAAATAGCCTGGTCCATTATAGTTGAAGCGCCCTGACAGCTAATGCATCACATAAGGGGAGCATAGCGTAGCCCCTGGCGAGTGCACTCTATTTAGGGCTACCTCAGTCAATGGCAAGAGAAGTAAGGCGCTACTCAACCCGTCATTTAACGGCAAAGCGTTAAAGTATTGAGCTGCTGTGGCCTCTGACACTTTTAAAAGCATCCTCCCTGGTCATTTCTAAGTCAGCGATAATCAAGTAAGACAAGTGTATCCATCAGGCTGACAGCGGCAGCCTCATCATTCACAAAGTCGTACAGTTTCATTGAATGCGGTTTGTTGTGTATTTGTTCATTACCGCCTACATGTAATCAAAGGTGATGCATTGTGAAGATTAAAAGAGTAATGAATGCAAACGGGTGGAGCGTTTCTTTTTTTTCAAAGTGACAATCATGTTTGTTTTGGTAGTTACTGAGCAGACTTTGAGATGCTGGATTTCACTAGATTTGAGCTCATTTACAGAAACATGATTTTTCTTTCTTGAAGCTACATTAAGAGCAAAGACCAACCTATTATGTATTTGCACTACTTTATCTGAATAAGCTCTAAGGTTTAGCATTGGTTACTTTATATGGTATAACAGGTGTATCAATCAATCATTT